TAATTTAATTTATTTTCTAAGCCTTACAATGATAAATTCTATAGCCAATATTTATCCCATTTTAATTTGTACGTAGTTAGGAAGTAATAGACTTTTCCACCAAAACTTCTATGTAAGGTTAAGGGCAACAATTTTCTCCAAAAGTCACAGAGTCTCACTGGAATCCTCACTATGGAGATCATCGCAGGGATAAAAATTTTAAGAATATTTCTCTCAATAGGACAAGTATGGAGATACTTTTTTTCTCGTAAATTTCTTCCGCCTCATGAGAACCCATGAGGATTTATATATAATAAAAAAATATAAATTTATATATAATAAAAAAATATAAATTTATATATATTTGTAAATATATTACCAATTAATTTTCAGTCACTCAATTCAATTGACTAACCCAACTTAACTTAAATTGCTCAAACCAACTCAATTCCTTGTCCAATCTTCCCAAACCCAATTCAATACAATAAGTAAACTGCAAATTGCAAATTACAATTGCCAATTGCAGGTTGTAGTTTATGTTTCTTTTTTTCTACTTGAAAAACAGCAGACTAATTTAATTTATTTTCTAAGCCTTACAATGATAAATTCTATAGCCAATATTTATCCCATTTAAATTTGTGCGTAGTTAGGAAGTAATAGACTTTTCCATCAAAACTTCTATGTAAGGTTAGGGGCAACAATTTTCTTCGAAAGTCACGGAGGTCCACTGGAATCCTCACTCTGGGGATCATCACAGGGATGAAAATTTTAACAATATTTCTCTCGATAGACAAGTATGAAGATACTTTTTTTCTCATAAATTTCTTCCGCCTCATGAGAACCCATGAGGATTTATATGTAATAAAAAAAAATATGAATTTATATATATTTGTAAATATATTACCAATTAATTTTTAGTCATTCAATTCAATTGACTAACCCAACTTAACTTAAATTGCTCAGCCCAGCTCAATTCCTTGTCCAATCTTCCCATACCCAATTCAATACAATAATTAAACTGCAAATTGCAAATTACAATTGCCAATTGTAGGTTGCAGTTTATGCTTCTTTTTTTTCCTTTTATTTTTTTCTATGAACATGTTGTTGGAGCTGGAGTGCTAGACATATAGGGTAGTATGTATTTGCTTGCTGCAACTGGACATTGCTTTGTTGGATTGTATGCCTAATATATTTATTTGTTGAGTTGTTTTAAATTTTTATTTTTTTTAATTTATAAGAAAAAAAAGAGGTTAAATTTGATATATTTAATATTTGACAAGAACTCCGTATACCCATGAGGACCCATAATTTCTCACAAGTATGGGAATGAAGGCTATTTTAAATCTCCATGGAATCCCCATATCTACTGTTGGCAAGGATGGGGATGGAAATGGAGAGGAGGTCCTCACCCCATGGGACCTGTTGCCATTCTTATGTAAGGCAAACTAGGAAGGTGCTGGCAGAATGGTTTCCTTCTCCCCTTCAACACATAGAAAGCTAATTAACCTTCCCCATCCCTTCTTCCTCCCAGTATCAATATGGATAAAATGCCTCATTTAGCCAGCAAATCTGGTTTCATGAATTCAACAATGCTCCTATTTTGCTTCCTTATTATGGCTATCCTAGATACCACAAGTAAGTAGTACTTCATTTTAGTTACCACAAGTACATTTTTTTTTATCAGCAAAATTAAAATTTTTATTATATGGAGTACAAAGGGTACTCTTGTCTAATTACAAATATTAAACACCAACTAAGCTCAATATTGGCCAAACCAGCAATCATAATTGTAAAAAATCAAAAACCACAATAAAAAAACAACCTTCCTCATATGGTCTTCATACTCCCCTTGCTGCTGCTTATCAAGTAGCTCCAGCAGCGTAGCACACTCAACCGAGCATTATTCTTTATTTAGACCCCTTTGCTGTTTATGGAACAGCTTCAGCAACCTTTTGTGCCTTCTCACTGATAGAGCACACTCAACTGGGTTTACCTTCCACTCATAAAAGGAAAAAACACAACCATTCACCTTATTATTAATCCAAAAAAATGTTTTAGCTTGTACCTTATCCAACAGTTTTTTTCCTAATGCTGAAATCATTATTAAACACCTTAACATTTTTCCAATACTATAAATACCATGAAACAATAAGGAAAATACAAGCACCCATCTCCTTCCCTACTATCCTACCCAAACCATGTACAAAAATTTCTGCCACATCCACCACTGTATTAGACATAACAATCTCCGTACCCCACCAATGCAACACCTCTACCCAAACTATCCATGCTTCCTTAGACATACAAAATAAATGGTTACCACAAGTAAATATACTCTTTTCTAATAAGTTTTTTGAGCGGAATTCAATGATTTAATGCAGATGCTGAAATTGGTTTTTGCTACGGAATGCTTGGAGATAACTTACCATCCAAGCAAGAAGTCAAAGCTCTCTACAACCAATACAACATCCAAAGATTGAGACTGTACCGTTCGGACGGTGATCCTCTCGGAGCCCTCGGTGGCTTCGACATCGAGCTTATGCTTGGCGTTGCCAACGAAGATCTGGAACGCATTGCCGACAGCCAAGCCGAGGCGGACGCTTGGGTCCAAAATAACTTCAAAAACTATCCCAACGTCAAGTTTCGCTACATTGCAGTAGGGAACGAGATTAACCCTGTAGATTCTGCTGCACAGTTCCTAGTCCCCGCCATGGATAAAATCCAAAGTTCCCTTTCTACGGCAGGGCTTGGAATCAAAGTTTCCTCCGCCATCCACACCGGTTCCC